TTCTCAATTCATTCCAAACGCGTTATCTTCAACAATTATTTGATCCTTGACAGGGTCCCAAATTATATTAATTTTTAACTTGAATCCTTTTCCTTCTTCAGCATCTTTTAGTGCCTCGGAATTTTTTCAAAAACTATCAATAGAATTGTCAATTAATTCATAAAAAACTTGCTCAAAAGTATAAGGAAGGCGCTTGAAAAAATTGTATATGTCGGTGTTTGGCCTAATATTTATAACATTGGAATCTTCAATGCTATTTGTTTTGGGCTTTTCATTGACTCCTATGTTTTGCATTATATACTATGTAATAATATTATTTTATTATCTTTCTCTAGCATGGCGAGCAACTCTAAAAATTTCGAGTATTTAGCCCTTCTTTAGTAGAGACTTAGTTTTTTCTTGTCTTCAATAATCTTTTCGACTTCTGGACGAAAATTTTTAATTATTGTCTTGAGAACGCTTATAGATATGCTTTCGCCTAACGAAGAAATAAATTCTACTGCGCCACTTTTTTCCTCTCATTCTTTTCATTGAGAAAAATCAAATATTCGGAGCATTTCTTGCTGAGAAAGGTAACGGTATCTTTTTCAGGTTTTGTCATAAATTATTATTAAAGAAGAGTGCTTGGTTAAAGTAGGAAAATATGTGGAAGGTTTAACTCGTATGCCTGAGTGCCTAAACTGAATAATACATCTATCTTCAAGTAAAAATTTCGTAAACTTTTCTGCTAAGTAATGATTTTTGATATTAAGTTCAAGTTTGCAATAAGTTTTTTTTTTTCTTAATGTTTTTTTGTTTTTTTTCCACCAGTTGTCAATGACTTCCTTGTTTTTCAAGTAAAAAATTCAGTTATTCTTAGCAAAGTCAATCTTTCAAGCAAATTTTTCGTTTTTTTTTAATTTTTCTTTGTCAGTAAACAATCCCAAGAGTTTATCTGCTCCATGACTTTTATAAACTCTTTTTAGAAAAGGAATTACGCCTTTTTTTTCCGAGCGTGGCACTAAAAAGAAGAATTCAAGTCACAAAGGATGAGGAATATCATAATAGGAAATTTTGCCAAGTAATTCCACTCAAATATTAATAACTTTTTTTCGTTCTTCTTTTATTTCTAATGAAGTTATTTTAGTTTCATTAATTGATTGTAGTCAGTTTCCCTTGTATATGTTCAAATTGTTTTTGCTAGCGCTTTTTGAAATTACTATTTTTTTCTCTTTGATTTTTTTTGCGAAAAAATTTTTATGAAAAGCAATTAAAAATAGACGAGGTCTATTGAGAGGTGTCTTGGCCCAATCTAACGGATTTGTTATAAGATCGTTAGAAGACAAGCGAATAAAGTTATTCTCTCCATCAACAAAGGAATAAAGTTTTGGGAAAATGTAGTTTAGTCTTTTAATTTTTTTTTTCATTTCGTTCCACGTCTTCCCCCCATTATGTTTTACCAGATAATCTACGTTTTCTATCGTCAGTATCCTTAGTTCATTGTTTGTATGATTTTTATTGTATAATTCCACAATTTGCATCATTTTGTCAAAACAATTTCCTGAAAAGTGGTTGCTTCCTTTCCTTTCTCCAGCTCTTGAGTAGGGCTGGCAAGGGAATCCGGCGCATAATCAGTCATAATCTTCTTCTGAAGAAGTCA